AACAGAACCCCCCCCCCAACCCGCTCCTCTGTCACGAAGGCCTCAGTGGCCAGAACGGCTTGCGGGCTCTGGATTCCTATTTGAAATCTTTGGGTTTCTCTTGCAAGTCACTCTTGCCACCACTGCCTGGTGCTCCACGGCACCTGCAAGGGCCTCATGGCAGCCCAGGGTGCTACAGCGCCCTGCTTGCTCCTGGACTTGCAGTCGTGAGCTGCGGTCACTGTGCAGGGGTGCTGGTTGTAGCCATGCTGGTCTAAGGGCACGGGCAGGCCCAGTTCTTTGGGTAGATGCAAGATCTTTTATTAGACCAACTGAGCAGTTGGAAAGAAGTTCTCGGCAAGCTTTGGGGCACAAGCATCCATCTGCAGTTTCCCTCTGCCTGAAGAAGGGTGCTTGTGCCCAAAAGCTTGCCAAGAACTTCTTTCCAACTGCTCAGCTGGTCTAATAAAAGATCTCACATCTACCCGAAGAACCTGGCCTTGATCTCTGAACACTTCAGAGACGGACAAAAGTATTCTGGGGGCCTCGGTTGAAAGCGCATGGCAGATTCACGTGGTTGGTGGTATGACATCTTACGTGACAAGTAGTGACAGGCCGTTGGACAACTCCATGGTTTATGGTACTGATTTTTCTGTAATGATACATTGCATCATTGTGGGTCATTATGCTATAAAATACAAGACTGTAAAATCAATGCTTAAGGTTTGGATTGGGAACCTGCGCATTATAACCGCATATTTAAGGCTAAGAGGACAGGGATCTGATTTTAGAAAGCCAATACTGTAGTTCCAAGTAGTTATCCACTGAGATCAAACCAGGGAGTAAGAAGTGATCCAGGAATACACCATCTCAGATGAAACTTGTAGTTCACATACTTAATGTTTATTTCTATTAGCTCTGTGAGGCTGCCACTGAGCTGGGGGTGTGACCGCCAGGACATGGAGGCTATCCCTCCAGCATGCTGTATTTCTCTGCTTCACAATCTGAGTGGGCACAGAGGACTTCTTTCCTGGCCCTTCAGCTGATAACCTAAAAATTATACATGGGCTGGGATTTTCAGGTATGATTAATGACTTAACTTAGGCAAACAGGGATCAAGGCTAAGACAATTTAAAGAAACTTGAAAGTGCTCCACAACCTCCCCCTCTTTTAAAGTAAGATCCTTGTAAGATCTGAGGCAACAAAGCTATCCTCTTCTGAAAAATCCTAGTACATTATCCCATTGTATGTGCATAGCATTGAAAAACCCTTATAAGCATGACCTAACTTTTTAAAAATGTTCACAGTGCCTCTTACTAATAAACTACCTACTACTGGGGTCTAGCATTAGCACTTTGTTCTGTGTGTACTGTCTTTAAAATATAGTATATGGGTCAAATGCAGTACATTTATCCTAAGTGGCACATGCGTTTTACAATAATGAGGAAAACAGAACATCCATTTTATCATCTCTGATTTTTACTGGCATCCTCCAGCTGACGCTCTGATCCTGACTTTGCAACACATACAAGAGAACAAATCTACCATCTCTGCTTTTGTTGTGTGTGCCACTTCCTAGCACCGCATTCAGCTTTGACACTGCACAACTCAAAGACCACCTACAGCAGCTGCTTTGAGCTGCAGGCTCATCACTGAATTTGTCAGATGAAATTAGCACAAAGGTTCTCTCACAGAACAGGATGAACTAGAAGAGTCTGGGTGAGATTTCAAAGTTTACTGCATTAAAGGAGATCTGTCACAGGCAGAAAATGGCAAACATACTAAGGCAATAAGATGACAAGTCAACATATCAGGAAGTGAAACATCAACTGCTGTAGAGTGGGAATCTCAAATCCTAGGAAGACTGCAATAACAGTTTTGTTTTTTTGTTTTTTTAATGAAGCACACTAGCATGTACTCAGGCAGGATGCTCTCACTACAGCAAAGGAATGGCAGATTTTGAAAGCGTAGTTAGATTTGCTAACAGTCCTTGACATTTTCATATCATAAATTGCTACATTCCTACATTCACCATGACTTTTTTTAATGGTTATTGCTAGTTTCCTTAGGCTATCTTGGCCAAGCTTGTCAATAACAACCTTACCTTTTCATTCACACTTAACTGGCTATTTGAGAAAGGAAAGAAGTCTTGCCTTTCTTTGTACTGAAAATAACTTTTGTTCCATTTTGAGGTGACTGCCTCCTAAGATGTGCACGCTGCTGCCAAGTTTTCAAGGAGGGATATTTTCCTTGCCAAAATGGTATTTTGCTTAATTTAGTGTTGCTGCCATCATTCCTCATTTGCCTTAATAGTCTTCTCTACTTCAGTTTCCAAGATTAGCTTTGGAATTCTAATTCTAGTTTCCCTCTGGCAGAATCTCAGACATGAGATGCAGGGTTGTACAGTACAATTTGATGGTAATCAGTTTGGTATTTTTATACCAGCTTGATTTCAAATAGCTCACAATACTTTTAGAAACATAAACCATTCAGTTTCTGGACGGCCTCTGGGAGGCAGTAGGTGGCATCTAAGGCAACCTTACAGATGATGAGGCTTGAACACGGACAGCTTCAACAGCAGCAACTGATTTTTGACTAACTTGGTTTCTGGGTGCCCAGCTCAACTGTGGCCCTGCAAATCCAGCTGAAGGCCAAGGGAGCTGTGTATACGTTGCTCCTTTAAGTATTGTGGCCAAAGTGTCTCAGCCTTTGTCTGCATTCTTTTCAATTGGAAGGGCAGAGAAATTCCCCTATCATGACAGCAAGTCTAATGGTTAAAGCTCAGCATTGAATGGTCCTATTCTTCCCTCTGTAAATGACTTGGGGCTTCATTTCCTTAAGTGCTGACACCCAAAGCCCACACAGTCAATAGCAGCTGCAGGATGTTATCTTAGGTGTTGGCTGCACTCTCTATGAGAGTAGGTCATACAATCCCATAACTCCATGAATGCACTCTTAGCCTACTTATGTCAAGGGTGCTCTAGGCCTGTAAAATAAACACTGTACCAGGCTAGGCTTACACAAGTCTGTCCTCAAAAGTTATCAGCAGACCACTCCCCTCCCCTCTTGCAATGAGGGTCAGTGCATAAACACAAGAGAGCATACAGAGGATTGCTTTATGCTACCCAATCCCCTGTGCTGCCTTTGTCCCGGTCAGACCTTTGCAGGCTAGATCCAGCTCACGGACTGTAGGTTGCCCACTCCTAATCTGCACCATTCAAGGCTAGATATAAATTTGCCTATAATCTGACAAAGCGTTTGGCAACAGCCTTGAGCCCCTCTTTTGGGTACCTGGCCCTCCAGGATGGACAGTTTATTGCTTCAAGATACTTACTCATCCTAGGTACTACTGTCCTCTGCTGGATTAAATGAATAGCAGCCACTGAAAGAGTATGTGTGGAGACAGTTCAGCCTCTTGACACCTGACAGGACTGAAATGGTCCCTTAGGCCTGCAAGGCCTAGAGGACCTTTGACATAAGTAGGTTAAGAGTGCATTCATGGAGTTATGGGATTGTATGACCTACTCTCATAGAAAAGGGTCTGATGCAGCTTGCTTTTCTGTAAGAGTCTGGTGATAAAAATGCCTGTTATGGATAAAAGGGATTGTTATGGTGCATTCCACCCAAATCTGAAGCCAATGGCTCCTGGTACAAAGAAGAGAAAAACAACAATAAAGTGAACACAAACCCCAAACTGTTGATGAAAAACAGAAAATTGGCCTAATTGGTAGCTATATAACTTAAGGACTATAAAATATTAACCCCCCCCATTCCCTTCCTCTCAGTCCTTCCCTACTCCTCACCCTAACGATGCTTATGAACTGAAGACATCTCCCCCTTCAAGGAACCTTGCACGCTCTGGAAGCCTGGCCAGCTCCTGAGTCACATAGTACTAGGACTGATAATATACAATTGCTTGCTATGATCTTGCTAAGATTACTGAAACTGCTACATTTATATCTATATGAATGCTTGGAGTTAATACTTTATAATGCTCAATAAAACTGATTTATTAAAGAGATAAAAAATCTCTCTGGGTTCTCGTCTGGAGAAAAGAAACAGGTTCTGGTTTGGAGAAGATAAATAGGTCCTCATTTGGAGAAAACTGAAGCATACTTTAAGGCAGTGTATCAGTCCTGCTATTTGCTCTCTCTCCATTTGGGAGGAGAACCAGATGCTCCCTGGTTCTTAGGGCAACATATGGAGTGATGATAAAGTTAGTTGAGAACCCAGGAGAGACATGATAAGGGAAAAATCAAGGGGATCCCCTGCTCAGGGAGCAGCTTCCTGAGCCAAGCACATTTTATAGATGGTACCAGGTAGTTTCAACATACATTTATGAGCAACTTACATTTATGAGCATTTAGAACAAGCTCAGGGGAACTTAGTGTTTACCCTCAAACAAATCCTCCATTATCTTATCACAAGATCAACAGAAATTTTATAGGCAGTAAAATACAAAGGCTGTGAATGGATGTTAACAAGTGTTAGTAAAGAACTGACCTTGATTTTATGCTCCATGCTTTATTACATTTGGCTATATTTAGTACTACGTAGTTTTACCAATAGGAAGGGTGGGTACATTAAACATACTTTCCACAATGCCCCACTGCAAAGTAAAAACATGCAAGCTCACAAGAGTCCCGATCTGCACCAGACTGATTTAACTGGAATGACAATAAAATGAACCTGCAGGTTATCCCTTCAGAGCTGCTTCCTCTGCCCTTCAGGGCTCCACTTGATAGGACTGGGGCCTTGATTACTAATTTGGAAGAAAAATCTAGTTTAGTGCCTTGCTGTTCCCATAAGTGACCTTGATTTTAATGCTTCCGTTTATCCAATTCTGCCTGCTCTTCTCAGTGTGCCTGTGAAAGGCAGCTGCAGCAGATAAGTTTCCACTGAAACTACTCATTCCCATCTTCTCTCCCTATGGTACACTCTGGGCCACAAGTTGCTATTTTAAAATCCTCAAAAATGATCTTAAGTGAAACTACCTCTACAGGACAGGAAAGATTTTTTTAAATTAGTTCAAATTAGAGAAATGACGGTGGAACATCTTCTGGGATCCCTCAGGTAAGATACCCAAACTAATATGAAGTAGGCAGGTCACTTCCCTGCCTCAAGTAGAAGCAGGAGACATTGACAAATTCTCACTCTAATCTGGAAGCAGAGGAAAGTAAAAGGTTAAATAGAAGCCTGTGACTTGAGTGAAAGCCAAACCCTTAATGTTAAGACAGCTGTTAGTTGTCAATTTTGCTGCAAAACTAAAAACCTGTATCATTCCAGAATTGATTCATAGTTTACAGCCAAAAGGGACCATCACATCATTTAATCTGATCTACAAATACCAGTCCATACAATTTTACCCAGTTATCCTGGCATCGAGCTCAATAACTTGCATGCGACTAAAATACCTTACGGAAAGGCATTCGGTGGTCTTGATTTGGAGACACGGAGATGGAGAACTGAACACTTCCCACTGGGAGTTCGCTTTAATGGTTTATCTACACTGCTTTTAAAGCTGTACTGAATATGAATTTGCTTGGTTTCCGCTTTCAGTCATTTGACTGAATTCTTATTCTCAAATATTTAAAAACGTGAGGCACACCTTTCCCTTAGAAAGGAATAGGATATAAACCTTTTATTGTTTCAGCTTTGTCAGAGTTTGTCACTGAAGGGCATTTATTTGTAAACTTGGTTTACGTTAGAAACTACAGATGCTAAGAGATTTTCTGCAGAATAGCAAAAAATCCAGAATCAATGCACTCTCGTGTCTTCAAGTAGTACATCCTCTCTGCACAAGTATCTTCTAAAATTACAATCACTGAGAACCTTCACCACCTCGTCTTCCTGAACTCTTAGTCCTCATTTCATGCCAAGCCTTCACCAGTGGTTCTCTGTTCTTCCATACGAGTTCATAACCATAAGTCTCATACCACCTGACAACAACAAAAACAAATCCTCAATTGAATTTCCATTCTGAAAACATCTGAAGTTGAAGAACAAGAGGGACACTGAAGGATGATAAATGGTACAACTTTACATACAGCAATAAATGGAACAAGCCAGAAGAGGCTGTAACTGGCAGGATTAGCTCAGGTTTTTAAGAAGGTATTTGATAAACATTTCAAGGAAAATATTGACTTATGTAAGTAGGCTTTCAGGTTTCTTTAGCCATAATAACTTATTTCTCTATATCTCAATATGATCCTATTCTGTTAAACAGTAGATAGCTCCTCAAACTTCTGTGATCTCTACCCAAAAAAGATGCAAGAAATGTTACACCCCATTTAATAGGAAGTTAGAGTGCAATTCTATTCTGCTTAGTCCCAATGCCTGCTAAGTACATTGCCACAGAAGTGTTTCCTGTTAGGCAAGCGAGCCAGGAAAAAAACCCTGGAAGGTAGTAGCTCCATTCTGCGTGAATGATCTCTTGTAAGTGACCAGCAGAATTAATCCACTGGAATAAGGTTGCTGGTATAGCACATGTTCGTAGACAAAACTTCAGGACCAGAGTTTAGTAAGTTTAGTAACCATGAAAAGACCGCACTAAGTGAAGTCAGGCATAAAGTACTTTCACAATCATCCTAATGTACTTTATTAAGAAACCTGCACATGAACTTCTGTATCAGATCTCGGCTTCTGCTGCACAGACCAGCAGTCATGCCAAGCCATGTAGTGGCTTTCTGAAGTGAACAATTTTCTACAAGGGAATATGCACACAGCACTGCACAAGTGTTCAGGTTGTATGGTTAAAAGAACTGAACTGGTAAGTTACACACCTAGCAAGTGTGTGCTTGTGTGGAGAGCAGCAGGGATCCAGGTTTTCTGTTTGCTGCCACAAATGCAAATTTTCCTCTTTAACAGAGAAAAACGCGGGAAACTACGGGTTTTCACCTTGCAGGCTGGCAGAGTTCCATACATGCACATGGCAGCCAGGCAGCAGTGGAGAGCAGCTCCCTCCAGGCAAATCTATGGGGGCAGGGCACACAGGCAACATATTGTGGGGGAGGGGGAGCACAGGCAGTACGGTGGGGGGGAGCACATGCCGCCCAAGACTTCTGCACGCACAGCGAGGCAGTACTCGGTGCAGGAGGGAGCGCTGTCCTGCCATAGCCGCCAAGGTGAGGTGCCCCCTACCCACTTGGCAGTAGTGGGGGCACAATTCTGCTCCACCGCTGCGCCTCACCTTGACAGCCATGGCAGCACAGTGCTCCCTCTGATGCTAGGTCCTGCCCACTGAGCCACGGGGATGGCTGGAGCCCCGCACCCCACTCCGGACACAGCAATCAGGGCGGGGGGGAGGCATGTTCCCCTCCTCCCCCCAAATCATTGCCTATGCCCCTTTGCCTCCCCCGACGCGTTGCCTGTGCCCCTCCCACACTTTCCCTGTGCCCGCACACACCCACCCCCTTCCTCAAACACTGTGGGACTGAGGCCTGGGGGCAACAGGTCTAGAGTGAGGAGCACTAGCAGGGCCAGGGGCCTGTGGGTTGGGAGTGAGGGGCACTGAGAGTCAAAAATGAGAGGCAATGGTATAGACAGGGGCAGCATACCGGCATACTGGGGCTGTTCAGCACCACAAAGCAGTGGGGGGCACAGCCGCAGCTGGTCCCGCATCCTGGTGAACAAAAGGGGCAAGGGGAGTTCTGATTTTCCATGATAAAAAAACCAAAATCAAATGCCAAAATATATAGGTGTTTAGAATTTATTTTATTATAATGTTTGAGGCACTGGTAGGCTTCCAAATTGCTTTAGAATTGTAAACAGATCAATACAACATAGTGTTCCAGCTGTTCCCTATAAATATTGTGGTGTTTCATTTTAATCACAGAAAAGCATATATATTTTTATCAGAATTTAGGATTTTTTTTATCAGAGAATTTGGGATTTTTAAACAGAGAAAACCAGGATCCCTGGTGAGCAGTAAGGAGGGAGGGAGTGGATCATTCCATTTTCTGCTCAAACAATTTACTGAAGCCGCTTCAACTATCCTGCTCTCCCCCAGGCATCATGTCAGAGATCTCTCTGTGATACCTGTATTACAATGAACAGCTGATAAACATATTAATGTTGCAGCATCATCACAAAGTGACAACCCAACAAATGTGTTGATGATTTAAGATATGGGGAAGCAAGGAGATAAGACAGCTCAAATTTGCCAAAGTTAAGGAATCAAATAAACAGAAAAGCGGAGGCTAAGCTCGGACGGAGGTAGAGGTGGAGTAAATGAGAGCTTTATTCAGATGCTGAGAGTTATAAAACTAGCCATATACAAGGTAAATGAAGTATTGCTACTTATAGTGCAATCAGGTACAGATAGGGACCTACTTAAATCATGACAGAAGTTTGTTAACAGCAGCAGCACCTTTAACCTTGTTCTTTCCACCACACACCCCACCTGCTGAGTGGCTCAGAGGCAATTCATGCTGGTGTTTTTGCCTCTCGGCCACTCAACAGCAAGAGGAGACATTGCAGCAAAAAGAGTGATATTAAAGGTGCTGCTGTGCTGCAAACTTCTGCCACGATATAGGTAGGTCCTAGGTGTAAAGCATGAGAGGGTGGGTGGGAAGGAAGGATAGTTTCTAAGGTTCTATAGGACTGAAGATGCTTTGAGCAATTTAGACATATTACCTGCTGGGTATACTTCTGCAGCATCCGATGAGTTCTTCATATTTTATCTGGCTATACTAAGTATCAAGATGACTTGTTTTACATGTAAAAAGGCTCTTGCTGTTAAGTGTGTAAATCAGACAGTGCCACAGACGAATCCAAAAAGAAGGTACTGACTCAGTTAATCTAGTTCAAGGTCTCACAATGTAGAACTGTTTCCCACAAAACTTTTTCTAGTGCTTCTCCCAAGTTAGGCAGAACCCCTGAAGGCTTTACACGGGAGGACAGAGCAGCAATACTGAAATACATTAGCAGTAACCAATTAGACCTAGACTCCTACTTGCTCAGTGGCTCCCTAAATTAACAATTAAACATGGAGATATGGGAAGTCATCTTGGCTATGCACAGAAAAAGATATTTTCACTTTTCCAGCATGTGCTCTGTTAGTATCCTTTGTGCACAGGGAAGCAAATGATGGGGAAAATTAGCCCAAGCTACAATGTCACGGCAAACAGGATCAGGGGATGGTTCATATAGGTTCACAAGGGTTCTAAATTGTCCGCCTCTTTATAGTTATATTACGTCAAAAACCAGTTATGGATATTCCAGGAAGAAATTTCAGTTCTGGTAAGAGAAACACAATTTTACTACTTAAAAATCATTTTAGTAGTCCATGCATAAGTGGGAAAGATACAGAAACAGCACAGGAAGAATTTACATGTGAAAAAAGGAATAATTTAAAAATAAATACTTACACACCAAGCAGTGCTCCCCCAAGATGTGCTGCATGGTCAAAAAACTTCCAGCCCAGAACAACCCCTACAGTATCCGCTGCAATAATGGCTTTTAAAGTCTAAAGTGGAAAAAAATTATATAAATATATATATATTAGGGGTGTGTGAAAAAGGCCGTATTCGGATTTGGCCCGAATCGGGGACAGTGATTCAATTTGTTGATTCAGATCACTGTCCCCGATTCAATTTGGCCAAATCCGAAACTGAAAATTCCATGCTGATTCAGAGAATCAGCGATTCAGACATAGACACAGCTTTAAAAGTTTTTTTCTACATACACTGAGGTAGTAGGTGTAGCTCATGATCGCTGTGATACTGGGGCACATGGAGCACCCAACAGGAGTGCGGGGGAGCCCTCCACATACTCAGCTGCAAACCCAGAAATGGACCGGAAGTCCACTTCTTGGTCTGCCAGGCAGCATTCTGGGGGCCCCCCGTGCCTTCCTGGCTCGGTGATCAGCCGCAGGGGGACCCCAGGTGCCCCCCGACCCAGGAGGCGCCAGTCACTGAGCCGGGGGGGTGGAGAGGGGAAGGGGGGGCACGTAGGGGGGCCCCCCCGCATGCTCCCCAGCAGACCTGGAAGTGGACTGAAGTGCTTCTGGTCCACTTCTGGGTTTGCTGCCAGGCATACTGGGGAGCCCCCCCCGTACCTCCAGCCTCAGTAACCAGTGCCTCCTTGGTCTGGGGGGGACACCTGGGTCCCCCCTGAGTATCGGTATTAATCTACCATAATAAAGTGCACTTCAATGTTGCACCAAAAACATGACCCCTGTATTAAAGCAGGAGTCAAAGTACATATCAATGCGTTTCCAAACCAAGATGTGTTTTATTGTCAAGGCAGAAATTGAAGCTCTTTCATTCGTTGCTAGAAGATGACCTTAACCATTGCCCCAGTGATTTATCTCTATTGCTAGACATTCTAGCAGCAGCACCCACAGGTAATCATGTTAGGAGATAACTGTTTCTAAAGCAATGGGGTTAATAAAAATGTTGCTGGTTAGGAGAATTACCTCAAACTGGCTTACACAGTTTACCTTATGGTACCTGATGGCTTCTACTCATTCTCCTTCTGTATGAGTTACTTTTCCTTTAGAGCAGCATGAAATAAGTGGCTAATTCCTACAGCTTAGTCCATAACAGAGCTATATACTATGTGATAGCCTTGAATGACAGTACAATCCAGTAACACATGCACACAGTTCATTTTATTTCCTAAAGTGACTGAATCCTTGGGCTCCCCTCCACATATTTCCCATGGCTTTAAAAATGTGGTGTAACACACTTAGGGGCAAATCTAGAAATTAAACTCTCAAGTTAAAACAAAACCTAGATGTCTGATTCTTGATTGCTGTGAACCTTCTGTAGTATAACACCAGCACAGAATAAATGCAAAACACTGCCATATCAGTAACCCTTTTTACGTGCTTTTCATATTGGTGTAAATGACTGCATTAGACTTGAAGCAACTTAAAACTAGGCCCCAGGACATCAAGCCATGATGTTTTTCTACTTCAATATATAAGAGAGAGAAGAAATTCTGCTGAAGAACACGTTCCAATACTACTGACATGTAGGTTAAATATTTCAAGTATATGATTGTTGTGAAGTTCAAAGGCACTTACATTTCCTGCTGTAAATGTGATCATTGGAAGAAATACGATCGCTAGTTTTGTTTCTGGCATCTTTGTACATACTGCAGCAAGCACAGTCATTAGTGCTCCTGACTGTAAATACATTAAAATACATGTGAGACGTGACATTACACAGGGGATTTTTTTTTCTGAGAGTGAATCTATTTTGCCTGTCACTTTCCTTTTCAGATGCAGGCTTGTCACAAGTTTCACAGCACAAAGCAGTACAGTTAGTTTAGGAGAGAAATAAATCAAGAAACCTTTGATTTCTTTCATTATCTGGATCTACAGTAATTATTCTCTTACTGTCGAACCTCTAACAGACCAGATAGAAACCAACTGTGTAACCTTTTAAGGAAATGTGTCATTAAAATACTGTAGAAATTGATCAATACTGTTCCTTGAATCCCAATGAGCTTAAAAAAGCTCCTGTAGTGCTGCTGAAATGTAACCACATCTGAGATGAAGACAACCAGTTTAAAATAGGCTGCATAATGGAAGGAGATTGTATCACTAGCCACAGAATCATGGACCAAACTTTGCTCTTTACAGAACGTACTAGACTCTTCCATGATCTATGTATGGAGAAGACCTGGTTTTACAAAGTCCCAGCAACATGGCCCTGGTTGAAGTAAACCTGTGTTTAAGTGTGCAAGGCAACATCATCAACTTTTTAAAGAAAAGTGAAAGATTCTTAGTATCAGATATAAATGATTAATAGGGTAACTGCTTGGTATGACACTGACTGAAATTCCATCTGTGAACTCTAGTTACCCTGTAGTTTCAAAAAGCAAAACCTGAGTTTTCTTAAACCTAAAAAGTGGTATTATAGCCTTAAAGATACATAAGTCTTGATCCAGTAGCAATTAACACCTTTTGGAAGACAACTGCCTTAATACCTCTTAGTGGTTTGCTTGCTGGCCTAGCAGAAAATGAAAAGACTGCATCTGCTATCTTCAGCAGTTCTGTGGATTGAGAGTTTTGGCAACAGTTCTAATTTTTGAGGAAGGCAGGATGAAGGTAGAAAATTCCCTATAGCCTTCACTGGCAACTCATGTTAATTTCTACCAACTCTAATTATATGATCTGTTCATAAAGCAGAGTTTTCAATTAGAGCATAATTATGCACTGACAGCTTTATGAAATAATATTTGTACGTTTGCAAGTTCAGTTCTAAAGACAAGAGGTCCTGCTGCTAAGCACTTGTTTACAATATTGTAGTATTTAGTAGCAAGTGCCAAGAAGTTAAAGGAATATGGGGAATGCCCAGGTCTTGCCTAAGAACAACTGGTTGATTACACTTAACTCCACTAACCTTAGCATGCCTTCCCTGAATATTCCTGACTTTGAAACAAGCTGATTACAGTGCTTTGTAACTACTTTTGGAGATGCAACAAGCTATACAGGGTTTTAATTTTCTTACTCACTGCTCCAAGGGATGGTTCAAATCTTCTAGTGACCATTTTATTGACATAACTGACATAAGTGGAGAAAACACCTAAAAGGTAAAGTTCCTATTAGAAACACTGCCAGTCAAACAAGTCGAACTCAGAAGTCAACGTGCTGTATCTCAGAAAAAAATTCAAACTAGCTAGCATGGTAACATTTTTAAGAGGATTTGATGTGGAAACTTAAAGCAGCTGTACTTTTCCCCCATCAGCATCTCTGGTCTGCCTTACAAAAGTACATTTAAAGCTCTGTATTTTATGAATTAACTACATTTTGGTATCATAAAACCAAATAATCTAAAGCAGGAGCACATGTGTCAGCATGTGGCACACAAAGGCATTTTGCTTGGCACTTGCATCTCAGAGAAGGGGCCAGGGCTGTGCTGCCACAACAAGGATCAGGCCCCTTGCAGCTCCCCTGCCATCCACTCCTGGCACACCAACATCTTGTAAGTTGAAGTTGTAGGTGTTTTGTGCACACTGCCCAAAAGCATTGCAGATGCCTGGACTAAAGCAGAGGTTCCTAGGTTTGAGGCACCCATGTTAGAGTTGAGGCACGTGCTCCTCAATAGATTTGAAGCCCCCCTCAGAAAATACCAGCCCTTAATTTTGACTCAGTTTTTGAATGCTGTAAAACAATGGAGCAATTTTTCTCTTCCATAGAAATCAGAAAGATCACAATAGGTCAGAATAATTTTAATGCTATTCATTCCTAGTTGAAGTTTCTGGGTTTAAACTGTGAATCATGTTTGCAAACCTATCAGCATTAACACTGCATGGCACCCCACAGCACCCCTGAAAGGATCTCAAGGCACCCCAAGATGCCATGGCACTCTGGCTGAGAATCACTGGTCTAAAGTGCTGAAAGTTCTGTATAGTAGCAGTTAACAGAATAAGCATGAACAATGCGTCCATAGCCATCACATACATTCATTAATCTTCCTCCCACTTCCTACCTCCACAGATATGTTTACACCATTTCTTTTTATAATTATATTTATATAAAAAGCACAATTTACCTGCAGAAAGGTACACTGCCATGAACTGCTCCCGTCCCCAAAAAGACACAATACTAGATGAAAAACTCCACAAAACATACATGTTTACTGCCATGTGGAAAAAAGAGAAATGACTAAATGTAGACAGAAGCATGGGAGCACAAAGGATTCCTAAAAGAAGAAAAATAAGTTTATGAAAAGAAAATAAAGCATGTTTAGCATTTCTTTTAATTAGCGCATGATTTATGGCGTAAGTCTAATTTAATGACACTTATTAAGAAAAATATGCAGAGTAGCTATTCTCAGTCTACTTAATATTTTTATAAACATGCATGGACACACACTCATTACACACTTCTATACATATTAAAAGCAGGGGAGAGCAATGTAATGAATGCTAGATTCAGTGTAATAATGCTGAAAAGAAATAGTACACTAAGTATTTTTTTCATTGCCCACTAGGAAAGATTTTGGCTTTTTTTTTCAAATAGCCTCCACCATTCTTCAGAACAGAAAAGACATTTTTCTATATCTTGCCTAACAATTACTTCTTAGGCTGAGGTACAAAAAGAACTTAAAGGGTACAAATTACTCCTTAGACCAAGGTACAAAAGAGGACTATTTGTTGCAATGGTAGCCTTGAAAGCAGATACTAACTGGTTTAAGAGCCAACATTTTTAAAAGGACCATAAGACAGCTGAGTGCCTAATTCCCACTGAGAATCAGAGTTGGGTGCCTAACTCCCTTAAGGCTTGGAAACCTTTGCCTAAGGGCAAAAGCATCTGAGTTTCACTCCTGCACCAAGAGTAAGGGAGCCTGGAGGTTCTCTTCCCATAGCACTCCTCTCCACCTCACTTCTCTCCCTAATGGATAAAGAACCCAGCTGCTTATTTCTTTCTACTCTAAATAATGGTTTTTATCAGTTATCATTTTCAAAACTATTTTACAATAAATGACAGCTGAAATTCTCTTTCACGTGGTCCAAAGACCAGTTTCTCCATGTGAATAACTGTGCAAACTCTTTCTACTCATAGTTGGGTATATAACTAACATTTGTCTAGAGGTAAGTGAATTCACACAATTCTACATGTGACAGTAAACATTTTACCTGCACTCATGCCCATAATTTCTCTGCAAAGGAAATATTAACATTAAAAAAATAAGGAATATCCTCAAGACAGCTTTTTACTGATATTCCACAAAATTAATCTTTTTTTCCCCTTCTCCCCAAAAGACCAGGAAAATGAATATTCAATTCTAGGACAGAACTCCAGTATGAAAGAACAATCCACCTCACCTCCCCCACAACTCTTTACAAGGACAGAAGCTGCTCCATTTTAGGGTTAGTAATTTTCAAAAAAGTGGACCATAACTTTTTGACATTATGATACCAAAATAAACTCTCATTGGTTATTCAATTTTCTCAAATGGAGTAGTTACCATTTATATCTCTTTCCATGATTTCCAGAGGCACTTAACTTACCTGTGTGAGATAGCCAGCATACTTTCTTATGGATTCATCACAGCAAGCAATGAAGGCATCTTAAACTCACTTCAAGAAAACTTTTAACATATCATCACATGGTCTATCTGTACAAAAATCATGTACATCACTATTGACTTACTAGAGGCAGGAGTAGATGTGAAATATGTAGCCATAATCCGCTGCATAGTAGGTATTCTCCATAAACAGAATACAAAGATGTTTGCAGCTATAATACCTAAGAAAAGATTCAATAAAGAAACTAAGTATAAATGCAATATTCTAGAATGCATGATAGAAAAGTACTTCAGATTTTCAACATTTTGCTTATAAAATCCAACAGTTTTCTTTATTACTCCCATAAATTAAATGCTATTTTAAGTTACTAAAGTATGATGGATATTAAAACAACTAAAGCCCTGGCCTTCAGACCGTTACATTTATACAATGAAAGTCTTTTAGAGATGCCACATTATGTCTAAACAAATTTAATGCTCCTTTAAAACACAGAGTTTACAAAAAAATACCTTCTAGTGATTCACTTCCAAGAAATGTGAACTAAGTTAACTTAGGTCCTTATAATTTACAAGTAATTTTTTTAACTTATTGAACCTATTCTGATTGAGTAGGTTCAATAAGTTCAACCACAGGGTGGTGGTGGACAGGTCGATGTCGACCTGGGAGGGTGTGGGCAGCAGAGTCCCCCAGGGCTCGGTCCTTGGGCCGGTGTTGTTCAACATCTTCATTAGCGACCTGGACGAGGGTGTGGCAAGCACCCTGTTCAAGTTCGCTGATATCACCAAGCTGTGGGTTAAAGTGAATACACCGGCAGGCAGGGACTGCATCCAGGCAGACCTGGATAGGTTAGAGAAGTGGGTGGACCTGAACAGGATGTGGTTCAACAAGGACAAGTGCAGGGTGCTGCACCTGGGGAGAGGGAACCAGCATTATGGTTATAGGTTAGGGCCTGACCCTCTAGGCAGCGCAGAGTCAGAGAGGGATCTTGGAGTCAGGACTGACTCCAGGATGAATATGAATCACCAATGCGACAAAGCAATAG